ACTCGTCAGCTAATCGGCAAATTGTTATCTCAGTCGGCAAAACTGGATTGGCTAAAGATAACCACTGAAGAAACCAAAATTGACCTCCTGAATAATTGAATTCAAACCAAATATCACGAATAGCATGCATCAAAGAAACCACACATGCAGCAATGCAAATTTTTTCGAATACAGTATCTTCACTTCTGGCAGCTAGTCCAAAAACATAATATTATTGAAATCATAATTAGGTAATTAAATTTGTTTGGTTGTTGTTGTTGTTGTTGTTGTTGTTGTTGTTGTTGTTGTTGTTGTTGTTGTTGTTTTGTTGTTTTGTTGTTGTTGCTTATTATACTGTTCTATAAAAGAGGCAATAAAGTCGGTTTTCCACTAGCGAATTTTCTCGCACGAAGCGACCTTTTTCCTTTGTCGGTATCACTTATTGCGTCAGCAAGACGTGGCAAAATCAGTCCTCGAAAACGAGGTCGGCATTCGGCAATGCCAGGCTAAATGCAAATTTTTGCCCACCTTAATTCAACCAAAGTAAAAATTTTTATGCTGATAGCTTTTAAAATGTCAGCGAATTCGATTAACTGAACACACTACGGTGTAAGGTTTAAAAACTGACGGGTATTGCGTATATACGTTAGATGTTTGAAGACCTAGGTCAGATATAGGCGGGCCCTCTTTTACCGACCTCAATTTTGACGGTTATGACTTTTCGAGGGCTGCAGAATGGATGCCGACAAAGGAAAAAGGTCGCTTCGCGCAGAAAAATTCGCTGTAGAAAACCCACTTAATAGAGGATAATAAAGCGCAATTAAATATGCACATTTACTATAGATGGCCCTGAAGGGGTAAAATGGGAACTGGGATTGATCTATTTTTAGACTGAGAAAATGGGATTTGGGTTGCTGGGACTGGGATTTGGCCACTGGGAATGGGAAATGAAGTCCTCAAAAATGGGAATGGGATTGAAGTAATTAATGTGAGTCGATTCACAATTTTGATCCGTTTTTGGTGTCTTTAGTCATGATTTTTGTTGTTAAGTATATTATTCACAGCATTACCTGCGAACAGGCATACTCTGGCGCCCGCAATTTTGGGTTTCTGATTATGCGTGTCTCAGAATGATGCAAATGCCATTTCCGGGATTCAAATTTGAAAATTTTCCGTGCCTTCGGCACGAGCCCCCCCCCCCAATATTTCATAAAGTGTCCGCCACTTGCACACACGGTGGCTTAAAAGGTCTTAAAACTGTTTATTCTACCGATAAAGAAAGGTTTTTTTATTGACTGGGATTTCAATAACTCGGACTGGGATTTCTAATAAAAATCCAACTGGGACTGGGATTTTGCCAAAATTTCAGGTGGAAAATGGGATTGGTACACCCCCCCCCCCTCCCCCCACTTTAGGACTCTCACGATAGGCTAATGACTCGGCAAAATTACCAAACAACAGTCGGCAAAAGATCACTCACACCCCCCACTCGAAGAGGGTTAGCGCCGCCCCTGGACACTATGTAAGCATGGGTGCAAGAGAACTTTCTGGTGGTCTCATTTTGAAATTTGGAGTCTCTACATTGTCGGAAATGGCATTTTCGAGTGTACACTTTTCCATTTACAACTCAATTACAAGGACATGCACATTTTCCTTTTACAGGACACAAAGTGTGTCAAAAACACGCTATTTTGAACGTGTTCATAATGACTTTTAACTCCAATCGAAATATATATTCTTGCATGTTTGTTCATCAGAATTTGGAACACGTTTTGTTTTCCTGAGACGCAGAAATTTTAGTTATTTGTACAAATAAACAATCATTGTTTAATGTCATTAGAATTGTAGCTATTTACAAGTGCACACTTGACTACGTTAACACAGGATTGCACACTTGCACACCTGAATTTTTGTCTTGCACACCCGAAATCTCGTCGAAAACTGCCATACTCTGCAGTCTGGCCAACTGGCGGCCCACAGGAGAATGTAGCGTGCTAAATATTAAACTAGGGTACCTGCAAGGTAGGGATTGCTGCGGGCATCAAAAGCAAATAGAACCACAGTAAAGGGCACAAATTATATCAAGCACAGTAATTACTCGCAGCGACTAGTGAGCTGTGAATGGAACTGAAAAGAAGGACAAGAAGCAATATATATTGAAGTAGCAAAGATTGAAGGGCCACTACTAAAAAGCGATACAGCGATACAGGAACCGGAACCTGGAACCGGAACCCGTAACCGTGCATAATTTATGCAAATTAGAGCATTTTGCACCACAGGAGATATACATAATAATAATTTACAGGGGGGGGGGGGAATTCAATGATAATATAAAATATTACATACAAGGCAAAACAAACAATGAACATCGTTGTAGCACTATATATTACGAAGTAAAACATGTTTCATAATTGCGCGGCGATTCTTTTTGTCTGTTTTGATATGACTGCATGTGACACTCTTAGTTTATTTAGCCGCCGCACTTGATTATGAAATACCAGCAGCAAACATTCCAACCTTCCCGGTTTACCCGGGACTGTCCCGGTTTTGACTATGTTGTCCCGGTGTCCCGGTTTTCTTCTTATTGTCCCGGTTTCTGTAGTATTTTAGCAGCTGTATTCTTCAAATAAGGCTCATGTGACAAATATTAATGAAATTCGTTTGGTTCAATACATATCAATGAAATGGCAGCTTCTAGGGGACTGGTCATAAAGTAGAGGGGGGGGGGGGCTATGAAAAATTGGGGGTGGGTCACTATTTTTCAACACGTCGAAAAGGGTGGGTCAGGAAAATTTATGCACTGCATTAGGGGTGGGTCAGGTAAAATTATTCACGTCTCACAATTTAATAAATAGCAAATAAAAACTTTTGCGAAATCTCTTTAACCTATTAACTTTATATATTAAACAACAGGAATTCACATTTGTATACAGTACATTGGGAAGTGTTCTAGTTACCGTAGTCTACTCAATGTACTGTCATGCATTATGTTTGGACATAGTTGAATTATGTTCAAGAGTCGGGCGGCGTGTTACAACATTTCAATCTCGGAGATTTTTCGGGGATTCTGACTAAACTAGTAAAGAATCGTGGTAAGCCAATGCTGCCAACGTACGCGCACCTATCTACATTACCGTACAGTACATTATCTACATGACGGGGGGGTCACTAAGATTTCTGCTCTAATCTAGGGGTGGGCCACCTCAATTTATTGTCACAATTTGGGGGTGGGTCACTGTAAACCAGTCTTTAAAAAATCAATTTTCATAGCCCCCCCCCTCTACTTTATGACCGGTCCCTAGTTCCCCCAAACAATTGCCGAGTTTGTCGCCGATCGTTGTAATTCTTGTGACATACGTTGTTTTAACAATTTAGCGTTCGCTTTCAATTCCTATTCATTTTGCCAGTAAATCTTCAATTGATTTTGAAACTCAATCTTCCTCCACAATGATTTTTTTTTCACAATTTGATTTTTTAATGCAAATGTTCCATTAAAAACCTGTTTTTCTATACAATTTTGTTCAAAAAGCTGTCGAAAACTATTTCACTTCTGAGACACAAAATCTCGTAGAGGAATACTCATGCCCATGCACACTAGAAATGTGTATCACAAACAGGGCCGCACATTACGGGAGGTGTGAAGGGGTGTGACACCCCCATAATTTTGAGAAATAGTCCAAAAAGTCGGTCCCAAATGAACCATTTGTCAGTCCCGATCGTCCGATAGGCATTACGCAAAATTATTGTTTCCATGAGATTTATT